TCTGCAACTTCCCAAAACGTACGGTGGGAGAACTTCTCTAAGAGAGAGGGCAACTCGCGTCTGCGCTTCCTATCTCTGACTCAACGCGATGCGCGTACGGTTCACTCGTTTCGCTTGGGCCAGAGACAGAGTCGCGCGTCTTCTCGCGAGTTATTCCTATATCTCAAAGAATTCTCTTAAAATAAAATTAAAAAATAAAATTACTCAGCCTTTCCTAATTTACTAAATTTACTTAAATTTTTAATTAAAACTAAAATTATAACTAAGTTATAATGTACGGTATTATTAGATTATAAAAATGTTATATATTAAACTATATATATATATATATATATATATATATATAATACATAGCATAAAATATACATATTACAATATAACCTAATAACCCTTTATCATTATACGCTAAAATACATTTAAAATTGTTAATTACTAGTATTGCTTCGAAAAACGCTTGGTTTTAAACAACTTACCGCGAAAGAATGTCTAAAAAGAAAACTAAAAAAAAGATATTACAATTTTCCTTTAAGATAGTAAGCATTGGCTCGGCCAAGAAAATACGGGAACGAAAAATAATGTTTTGTTTTTGCCCTACCATTTAGTGACCTGTATCAATTCAAACAAATTATTTTTATAAATTAATTTTAAAAAATTTCTTACTATTATTATTTACATTATTTTGTCAATATGAGAAGAAAAAAGATGTGGATGGAAATTTTCAATAAGATAGTAATCTGAAAAACTTTATAAAAGTTATTTTTTGTGGTGCCAGGGACTAACGAATACCGCTGTAGAAATTTTATGTGTGGTTTTATGATCCAGGCCCACAAATAGTAAACGTTTGACAAAAATATATATCCGCACTCTGAGGGAAAAATATGTAACATAATTATATTTAGTGCTACATTATACAGACAGCTATCTTGATTGTATCAGATACAAATCAGGTTGTACGGAGTAACATCTTTGATTGTAGTAGGTAGCACAACAATATTTTTGTACCATCTTTGATGGTACCGGATAACATCATCTTTTTACCATCAAAATCTTGCCATCCATTTCTCTGACAATGTGTGTATAAGAAATAAAAAAAATGTTAAAAATTGGACAAGTGCGAGTTGTACTCGCACTGCAATGGCGGGTTCCGCACACAAATATTAAAACAATACTTGCAACATTGATCGGTAATTGGTAGAATTAAAATAAACAATTATAAAAATATATTAAAATCATTTGATAAAAAAAAATAACTAAAAAAATTAAAGTATTGTATATATCTAATATTGTAAACAATAATAAGCAGAGGAACTATAATAAATTTTGAAAATTTTGTTCCTCTGCTTATTATTGTTTACAATATTAGATATATACAATACTTTAATTTTTTTTAGTTATTTTTTTTTATCAAATGATTTTAATATATTTTTATAATTGTTTATTTTAATTCTACCAATTACCGATCAATGTTACAAGTATTGTTTTAATATTTGTGTGCGGAACCCGCCATTGCAGTGCGAGTACAACTCGCACTTGTCCAATTTTTTTTTATTTTTAGTTAAGAAATTAAAGTCAGAAAACAACCTCTCATTTATTCTCTTAAAATTTCACTCTCTTCCTTAAAATATTTAATGCCACGTGTTTAAACTAAAAAAAATTAAAAAAATTTTTTTTTTTTGAAAAAAAAAATTAAAAAAAATTTTTTTTTGATTTTTTTTCAAAAAGTTTCTTAAATAAATTTTTTGTCGTCAGACTGTAATAATACACTAGGATACCAATTTTCAGCTCATTAGGTCAAATAATGTAAAAGTTAGGGAAAAAAAATTTTTTTTTTTTAATTTTTTAGTTTTTCCTTGACAACGCTATGGCCATCATTACATATCAAGTTCTCTATATTTTTCCTGTAATATTCGAGTAAAAATACACCAGCATGCAAAATTTCAGCTCTCCATGTCGAATAGTTTAGAAGTTAAGGGGGGGGAATGGTCACTTTTTATGCATTTTTGGCCAAAAATCTTGTTATTTCCTTGACAACGCTATGACCATCATCTCCAAACACATTCTCTATATTTTTCCTGTAATCTACGTGTGAAAATACATATCTGTACCAAATTTGAGCTCTTTAGGTCAAATAGTTTAGCCGCTAGGGGGGGGCGACACGATTTGGCTACGGACAACAGAGTCTCACCAATAGGGTTCCGCCGATACACCGTAGGTGTACGGAACCCTAAAAAGAGTAATAATTACTACAATTGTTATTAAGAAGTAACGATTTATTAGTTCTAATTAAGCATTAATTAATTAATATAATTAATAACTAATTTATTGCAAAAAGAATGAACTGTAATTCAGTTACAATCGCAAATACATTACAATAACTTGTAACTGACGTTAAGAGTATAGTTAATTACAATAAATCGATGGTATATTTACAACAGTTAACCAATATGGTAGTTTACAATTTAAGTCGTTTGTTTTTAGCTCGCTTGTAACTATTTAATTAACACAAAAGAATTGAAAAGAGATTTACGATTACGCCTTGGACTTTACACGTATATATGTAATGGCATTGAGGCTGAAGAAAGCAGAAGAAAAAAGTCGAAGATCTCTGACGCCGATCCCTTTTTCTTCGTTTACATATATCTTATTACATCGATTTAGAATGTTAGTAAATCCCCTGCGAATCTCGCTTGTCTGTAATTGTCTCATTTCGCGAGGCTTTTCATATTTCATAGGTAAAAGAATTGGATATTGATCGGGATACTAGACTGTTCGTGCGCAGTTGCCCATTGACCCGATTTCCTTCGTACTCGTCCTTCGTGCTCCTTCCGCGTATGTCACGAAGTAACTAATTTCTGCATTTTTCATAGGTGTCATAATCTTCTTCTTCTTCTTATTCTTATCCTTCTTTTTGTATATTATTGTTTTATATCTTGTCTTATATCTTGTTTTATATCTTTTGTATATTATTGTCTTTTGTATATTATTGTTATATTATTGTGTGTGTAGGTGTAAACTCCGACCACATCTTCAAATAATATTGACAATCGTTAGGATATTTGATACCGATTATTATCGCAATAACACTGCATTCAAAATGAAATCAGAGAAAAAACAATTATGAAAATAAAGAAGGGAAATAAACAATTAGTGAATTACTAAATGAATAAATTCTTACTGTACGGAATTAGATACCCAAATATTCCTCCAGGACATACTTCATTCCCAGTTCTGCATTTTAGGAATATTTAAATGTTCGAACTTTGGAATATTCCATTGCAAAATTAGAATACTTTTACATTATTTCGAAAGAACATTTCAAAGGTATTCCTAAAATGTGGATGAAATATTCCAGAAAAATATTTTCAATGTAATTATACATTCGTTTAAAACTTGCTACTCAGGGTTATACTGCCCCCCACAGCATCTTAACTCGCAGCTACACTGACACATATAAAATTCGTAATCAGCGATCCTGAATCGAATCTATGGAATTTTTTTTAAATACTCCATTTTAGATCCACCACTTTGCTTTTCAAAATTCTGATGCCAGATTTGAAATCAGAGAGCCCGAATAGAGACAATTGGAGTGTTTTGATTCTCACTTACTATATTGATAAAAATAACTCTGCAGTGCTCCAGAAAAATATTAGAGAAAAAAGTAGAAGGTATATCGGAACGTATTTTTTTTAAACTATAGTCACCTTTCTGCGGAATAAACATTTAAATAATGTAAAAATGCAAAGTAAAACAACAAAGAGTGAAAAGCTATCTATAACACCCCGATATCCCCTAAACTTTGAAAACCAGTTTCAAAATTATCTGGTCAGATTTCTGGAATATTCCATTGGAACATTAGAGATATTAATTTTTAATTTTACTTAACTTCGTATTTTATTTTATTTTCCAGAATTACTTAAATGCCTGACATTTGGAATCTTCATTATTTTTTTGATTAATCTTTAAAATATCTTTGAAATATTCCATTGGAATATTATAGAAATATTAATATTAGTGTTTTACTGCTCTCTAAATCTAAATCAGTGACTTTATTCTCGTGATTTGAATCAGTGAAATTTCAATGGAAATCTGTTAAATATTGCTGAAATAGCATTAATTTTTCACTGTTTCAAAGAGTGCTTTCATTCACCTAGAATATTCTGAAACTCTTCATTTAACTGTTTAAACTGTCTACAAATCTTTGAAACAATTGCTTCATTTTTTCGATTTCACGAGAAAAAATTGTTTTCAACGCTCAACTTCGATGCTGACTTCATGGACCTGTCCACAAAATTTCAATGAAATATTTACACAATATTTTGATAAAAACATTCCGATGAAATATTCCAGGAAAGTAATTGAAATATTTTGTATTATAAGGGGTGAGGGTATTTTAAATCATAATATTCCATGTCGTTAATTTTCCTGTAAGAAAAAAGTCGAAGCGTTTGTTTGAAATAAATTTGTTTAAAGAATACGTATTTGAAAAAATGAATAATAATAAATGTGCGATGTATTTCGAAATGAATAAATAAATAATAATTATTATTTGGTTAATACATCTTGAGCAACATTCCAGATTAATAGAGAAATTATTATAAGAACATCTCTCGAGAGTATATGTTTTTCTTTTTAAAGTGGATTTATTCATGAGATTAATTCAGTTTCATTTGCACTGTAGAATTTGTAAAGAGACGATCCATAAATTATGTAACAATGAGTTAGCAAAATGAAGTATTGGATTTTAGCATATTGGATATATACATATACTAATGTATCTATAATTTTGATGAGATGAAAAATGTTATTACGTAACATTTATACATGCTACAAAAAAGTATTAAATAAATTATTGAGTTGTAGCCTACTTTTAATTTTTCGATACTATTGAACAAATAAAAATTTTAATAGACCACAAAAGTTTATTTATTTACTTTCAAAAAATTTCGTATTTTTAATAAAAATGTTGTTATTTTTAATATTTTTCTTTTTTTATGTTTCAGGTAAGGTTTTGACAATGGATTTGTATCTATTCCTCTCTTCTTTCATGGTACGATAAGGTATAACAATTTTTTATATTTTACTGGTACACTAAAAGAAGAAACTTTTTTAAAGAACCAAATTTTAGTTAAATTATACCAAGAAAAAAGATTTCAAAAAATTTTCTTTCTTTTATTTGTATTTGTTCAATCAAAAAAACATATTTCATTAATTGGTGTAAATTTGAATAAATCAAAGAGGTGGAAGTCTTTTTCAATAGAAGAAAACGTAATTAGTTTAAAAAATTAATAATTAATTAAATTAAAAAATTTTTTTCGTTAAATCGTTTAAATTGTTACATTTGGCCTAATAAAAATTTTATTTCAAAACACAAGATTTTTCGGAAGTAAGAAAAGCGTACTTGACTTAATCAAGATTTTTTAAATCAAAGATTGTTTTCTTTGTCTCATTTTGATTAATTGTTTTGATCAATTATTGCCAATTATATACAGCTGCAGTCAAACAACAGATTGTCTTTGAAAAAAAAATGATTCTGGATGTAAGTCTTTAAATAAATTTATTTCTCTTTCGTTAACCAAAAATTTGTCTGATTCAATCAGATCAATAAATTGAATCAAACGAGGAATTCTTTATGTGATTGAAAAATGTATTAAACAAAGCAAACACTTACTTATATTAAAAAATTGAAGTTTCAAAATTATACTTCTAAAGTTGAGAGGAAATAAATAATTACACATTTTCAAAAAAGTGTCAATTTATAGTCTAGTTTGATAATCATTATGTATGCAGGCTTTGTTAAGAAAGAAAAACATATAAGTGCAATTATATACATACCTAATAAGATGTAAAAGTAGTGTCAATCCACAATTAGTCAACAACGTATATTTTGTCACATTTTATAATCAGACAAATAAAATGTGACAAAATATGCATCGTTGACTAATAAAAGTGCAATAATTTTGGTTCGAGAGGATAATAGAAAAGATGTCCTCTTAATTTGAGATTAATTTTCTTTTTGGTTTGTAACGTTTTTGATTAGGTATTTAGCGTTTGACATTGTGACATTCATCTCATTAAATAAATTTACTCTTATGAATTTTAATTTACGCTTTAAAGTGGCACAAAACTCAAGAAAAAAAATGTCTAGACTATATAATAAGTAAATGTTCCGTTCAATAAATATTGAGAATTTGATGAAAAATTACAAGTATTTAGAGGAAAATCTTAAAATAGTGCATTCATCATTTTTAACGTGCAAACACGATAATCTGTTGAGAAGTAGCAGCCAACCCGTTGGCATTTCACTATAGAGAAAGTAGCAAGAGAGGTAACACTTTGCACGAGGTCTCTTATTTCCAAGACTCGGGTGTGCATTTGTAAATATATGTGTATGGATACCTTTGAAACCTTTTGCTGCAACATTATAACAGAGAAAAATTTAGCAATCTGTATTTTATGTAACTTTTCAATTCATGCGTAAAATAAAAATTCAAAATTCACATTTTATTCCCGATGGGTTGAAAAAAGTATAGGTATTCTTAAATTAAGATAAATATTTTTAAACTGGTATTTCTTTTATACTTTGATTTTAACATCTTCTTTCAGATTTCTTAATTTAAGCAATTAAAATTTCAGATTTTTCTTGTCTCTTTAGAGGGATATTGGTGAAAGGCTTGCAGGTTGCCCCACCTAAGCTTTTTTGCTCATAACTCATTAAAAAAAAATAATTTATATGAACATACCATCGGAAAGAGAACCTAAAAAGCTACAAATTTGACCCATAGATAATTTAAATTGTCAAAAAATAAAATTTTTACATCAAATTTTAAAAATGATGTAAAATGAACGTTTCGAAATAAAATTATCACAAAAGATTAATTAATAACATTAATAATAAATAATAATAATAATAAAAACATTAATAATAAAACTTAGTAACGGTTATTCAAATAATATTGTTGTAATATAAATTGTATATTGCTTCCTCATGGAAGTATTGTTTTACTGAAAATTTCAAAACTTGAATTATTATTCATTTTCTTTATGTTTCCTGACCTCAGAAACTCAAAAATCGAGGTTAAAATTTTCTGGTCAGTCACACATACAAACATACATACAGACATTTTTTTCTTATTAGTAGTTTCGGAACATTTACACGGAAACAAAAAGTTCACGAATCTATCGTGAACTAGTATATCACTTTTGGATGGGACACAAAATTTCAAAATTTTCATTCACTTTTGATTAGAAATGGCGAACGTCAACGAAAAACTGAAACAAAGTTAATGAATTTTTGATGAACTGTTAATGAAGAGTAGTTCGTCAAAAGTAGAGGTACAAGTTCACGAAAAAATCGTGAACTCGCGAGTGTCAGTAGTATGCGCAGTTCGTAATGCGCATCAAATATGGCTGATCAAGCATTCATCATTCAGTCGGTGTCATCGGTGTTTACATTCGGGAAAATTCTTTGATGAAAGTTATTATTTAGAATCAGTGTTTTCCCGTGTGGAAATTTGTCACGTATCTGTACCGTAATGATATAGTTTCACTAGTTGCTATCTAGTTGCGATACCGTGAAATGTTGTAGTAACTATCTTGAAATGTAACGCTACGGACATCAAGTTTCTAGATAGTTTTACTATATCAGAACAATATAGTGAAATATTATAAAGCTATAACACGGGCTCTAGTATAAATTTCATTTTTAGAAACTTGTTTAATACTTCTATATTGATTTACGGTAAATATATTTGTAAAAATTAATAATAATAATAATTAATAACATATGTACAATATAATTATATAACAATATTAACAAAGTTTATAATTATAATATATAAACTATTATTAATTTTTAACAATATTAAAGATTTTAAAAGGTGCAATAATTTCATTGAATTTAAAAAAAAATTTCGATTATTCGCTTTCTTCTTTTATACCATATTTTATTTTTAACAAGTCCAGTTATTTATTTGTTATTATTTTAAATTCTAATTAAGAATTTCAACCTATACTACACTTCACATTATTAACATAAATCAATTAAATTAAGACGGAAAAATATCGCACGCACGGGGGTTCGAACCCTAGACCTTTAGGACGCAATACGAATACACATACCACACAGCCACGCTGACTTGGAAGATGTGTTGCTTAAAATACCTTTTCAGTTTCGAGACTGCAATTTTTGCCTTTATTTATAATAAATTGTTTGTAAATGGTATATTTAAATCTATATACTTAATAACATTATTAATTACGATATGTAAATAATAATAGGGGAGAGTGGGGCAAAGGCGCTATGCGGGGTAAAGACGTTTTTTAAAATATCTCCTTAATTTTCTGTCTATTTCAATTGGTATTAAAAATTTAGTTGCAATGCAATCAAACCAATTGATTAAAAAAATAAAAACCTAAAAATATCAAATATTTTAAGAAATATAACAAAAAAATTGTTTTGCAAAAATAAATTGATAATTTTACTGAACAAACTTTTATTTTTTAAAGCATAAGTTTAAGTATTTAATTTTTAAAAACGTAACATGTAAATAAATTAAATATTTCTCTACACAACTGGCGTGGTGTTTTAGTTTAATTTTGTATCTAAATATTTTTAATTTAAAGTAAAAAAAAAGTTTGTTATGTGGGGCAAAGGCAATATTGAATATAATTTGTTTAAAAACAATTGAATATTCGAATTTTTCTATATATTTATCGTATTTATTCACAATATAAGGTTAAAATCACTAAAAGTTTTTATTTTTTATTTAAATAGTTTAATTCTTTTAATAATATGTTGTTAACCTTATGTTTCGTAAATATTATACTAATAAATATCACTTGTTAATTTTTTTAAGGCTTATAAATTCTTTCTTTTAGAAATATAAGGGAAAACGTCGCTGCCTCAGCGTGTGGGGCAAAGGCATTTTTTGCAATGTTTTTAAATTTCATTAAATAATGTATTTATAATTATAATTATAATATACTAAATAACAACTATTAAAATTTCTTGTTGATTAGTTTTAGAATAATGAAAAACAAAGACCGCATAAATTAATTGCTTAATTTAAAAAATATAGATCGAGAAATGTAAACCTAGCGCCTTTGCCCCACTCTCCCCTAATAATATTATAAACATAAAGAAATTACTTGCAGATTATGATTGTGAAGTTTCACTAGGCAGAATTGATCTAGATCTACAATATGAAGTAGTTAATGTAGTGAAACTATACAAATTCTAGACCGTATCCCAATGTAAAGCAGTTGTAGTGAAACTATACAGATTCTAGAACGTATTCCAATGTAAAGCAGTTAATGTAGTGAAACTATACAGAATCTAGACCATTTCGGTATAGTTTTACGTGACCAGCTTTACGGGATGTTTGCGGTACAGTTTCTATCTCGTATATAATTTAACCAGACACTTTTCTGCACGGGTTTTATTACTTAGTGAATATTTTTGTTTGCTAATTTCCTTTGTGAAACAAATAATTCATAAAATGAATTAAAAGTTACGATAAGGGACTTTTTCTACTTTGCACGGTCCTGAGTTTTACAGCAGACAAAGCTAATCGTTTCGTTTGTCGAAGGACAGTGTATCTAGATTTAGCCGTGGCGGTTAGTTGTTAGAAATATTATGTTATAGGGTATAGGTACTAGGTTCGAATCCCGTGAAGCGAATTACGAATTTTAATGGCGATAAAATTGTGTATTCTGTGTAGTTAAATGCGTAATAGGCGTCAAGTTATCAAATAAAGTGAAATACTATAAAAAAGTAGTGTCTGGAAATTATTTTTTCTTGTTTTTAGCATTTTTTAAAAGTTCACGAATTTTTCGTTAACTTTGACGAAAAGTTCGGAAACAGTACTATGTTTCTAGTGAAGGAGTTGATGAAATTTTGACGAACTGTGTTTGTTGATTTTCAAGAATTTTGTGTCCCATTCAAAAGTGATATACTAGTTCACGAGAGATTCGTGAACTTTTTTTTCCGTGTAGGTTATAAGAAAAAGAAATTTAAAAAGAATTCCAATTCTACGTAATGTGTAGACAAAAGCATTGATTGTATTTTAAATTC